TCATTCGTATGCGAATATTTTTACGTCCGTTTTTTAATTGTAAACGAGTCTCGTAAACGATTAATTTACGTTAAAAAAGCGTTTTTCTACACTGCTTTACTGTTTTTGAATGCTAAAAATAAAGGCAATTAATTAATTCAAATTATTGTAGTTCTTTTATTGAATGGAATTATAATTAATAAATATTTATAGTGTCGGATCAAAGTATTGGCACAGAGAATTTTTCGCAATGTATGCAAAGTTTTTTACTTGAATTTCTTTTCGCACATTATTTTTTTTAAATACAGTTAGTATGAAGATCTACTGTACGGATAAGGCTTCGGATTTCGCACGCCTTTTTAATTGAGAAGCCATATTATCAATAAAACATTAAGTTCAATAACTGCAAAGACCTAATAAACTAGCAAATTAAAAAAATAAATAACTATAAACTTACGAGATAGGGGAATTAGACGTTTAAATCCTTTAGTGTTACTCCGCGCAGCCTGTGAAAGAATTGCAAAACTCGTTAAATTAATTTGTATTTTTGAATTACATATGTAGTAGCTACTTACAAGAAGTTTAATTATAAAAGAAAGTGGTAGATCGTCCTTGGCGTTTGCACCAGTCTGCCAATAAATCAAATACTTAATAATTTTCTTAAATTGAATATTTAACAAACTACTTATAAAATATTGTGATTGAAGAAAAATTATCAACAAAACTAAAATTTTTTCTTGTGCTGACAAATTACTACAAGCCTCTTTCTATTATATTTTTGCCTTTCTCTAACTATTTGGCGATACGAGAATCCCTCGTAAAACATAATGTTCGTAAAATGTACGTTTTCTTGCTGGCTGGGTAGAGCATACAGTGTATACATACATAAATTCAGCGTTCACCTTTTCGCCGCATTTGGGCCCTGCCTTCTAAATGTTTGTAGGTACATATTTGCATATGCATATTCTCTGTTAGTAGATACTTATTTGAATAGTTAATTTTTTTCTATTTTCAAATGACTTTTGTGCAGCACTTGAAATTGCGAGTATATACGAAAGCAAATACGGAATTGCGAATGACCTTTGTGCACCTGCAAGTGCGGCTTTTGAAATATTAATAACTTTGAAATATTAATCCTTTAGTGTTGTGCTAATTGTGGGAGCATCCGAGTGTGTTTTTGTTGAGCTGTGCTTTTACTTTGAGGTGTTCTAGCTTGTTAGTGTTGATATTTAAAACAAAAAAAAATATTCCATTTGAAATTAGTTATTATTTTGAGTTTGTGATAGCGCGTAAAGTGGAAAATTACACAAATTACGGAAGTAAAAAAATTTCTTCTACTGCATATTTTGTAGAAATATTGAGTTACATGCACTCTTATAATTTTTGAGCGCATCTGTAAGTGTTTAGTGATTTTAAATGCGCACATACATACCCAGTAGAACTTGGGAGTATCGTACGATTGCTCGGTGAGTACTCCCTTGGGAGTATACGAATACTCCCCATCGCTCCCTATGCTTCTGTGTATAAGCATGTAATTTTGTATACTCCCTTTAACATTGGATGTCCTAGGAGGGGGAGTAATCCCTTTTACCTCTTAAACGAGCAATCGGGGAGCACACACAGAATTATCATCCCACAAACCTTCCAATGGAGCAATACGGGAGTACTCCCATAGTTACCTCCCAGAAAGCTCCCAAAAAGACAACAAGGGAGTGCACATAGAAAACATCCCATATTCCTCCCGAACGAGCAATAAGGGAGTGCTACCATTAGAGGCATCCCGAAAGCCTCCTATAGGAGTAATAAGAGAGCAATGATAACGAGCATTTTAAATAAGCCAAATAGATTGTCACACTTATTTCCGCAATCTGAGAAGTATTTAACGATATATTTATAAGTAATACAATACTTAATATATTTAAACGAAAGTTGAGGTACACACCAACGGACTTTTATTAAAATCTGCGTACTTTCCAAATTAGATTATTGTGTCCTCCTTATGCGTCTATAAGAAATATTTTCTGTTGGTTTTTTTTCTATGATAAACTTTTCCGAAAACACAAAATTTCTTTTGAACGAGGTGCGTATTGCTCTCCTATCAATCAAAAAGAATACTCTTGGACTTCTCGCTTAGGAGACATCACTTTTTAATTCTAAACGAGTAATAACGGAGTACAAAACCGACAAATCTCGCTTATTGGTCCCAAATCATGCCTCAGGGAGTATTATTTCGTCGCTCGCTTAGGAGATCTCCTATTTGATTCCTAAACAAGTAATAAAGGAGTACAAAACCGACAAATCTCCCTTATTGCTCAGAAATCAGGTTAAGGGGAGTACTCTTTTATTCCTCACATAGGGAGATCTCCCTTCAAGTTCTAGTGGGTATGTATACGTACATACATACACACATACGTATGCACAGATATTGTGCTAGTGGATTTACATAAGTTTTGTGCTGGGATTGCACTGAAAATCTGTGTCCCAATAAAGCTAAAATTATTTTTCTAAATGCGCATAGTTTGATCTGACACTATTTGATTAAGTAAAAAGCAGATTTTCTTTGTTTCTTAGGCTATGACATTTGCGCATGAAACTCAATATCAGTAAAATGCCCACCACGACTCCTCTAGCAACACAGGATGCGCATATCAACATTATCCACGACTTTTTGGCATAGTTAGGGCTTTTTTTATTGTCATAGACGATATTTTGCACTTAGTCCAAGAGAAAGTAGTCCAATGGTGTCAAATCGCAAGCTCTCGGCGGCCATTTGACACGTGAGATAATGCGTCCTAGGAACTTCGTTCGCAATAGGGCCACTGTTTCATGCGCTGCGTGGAAGGTGGCACCGTCCTGTTAAAACACAAATTAGTCGAAGTCAGTAGAAAATGTTTGTTATCAGGGCAAGATAAAAAATAAACATTAAATACATATCACAAATAATTGAATAACCCCACTAGAAAATGTTTGTGTACGAAGAGTTTTTTGTTTCGTTAATTTTTTATAAAAATATAGTAAATTCTATAATATAAACCGTTTAAGTATATTTAACTTTCAAACTTTCTCTATAATTTAGAAAAATCAGAATTTTCACAAACTTTTTTGGCATACAGTTTTATAGATCATTCGAGGTTTTAAGCTACTACAAAACTCCGTTGATTTTTGATAACCTTTCACCGTCAGAGTCTTGGGCATTTTCTTCCAAATAAAGAAATTTTCGAACATACTTTGTAATAAAAACGCTCGGTACGTAAAATTTTTCTAAGTGCTTAGGGTATGTAAATATTTTTGTTTATGAAACTATTCTGCAAAATATGTATGCACATCCATTCGTACTTAATTAAACTTAACTTTCGGATATACCCACATAAACTAGGCGCAGAATTGCATAAATTTGTATTCAGTATGAATGCGTGTGTTCTTTTGTTCATGTATTCAACCCCTTGTGCAATTCTGCATATCTTCAACCTTTCAAGTTTTCTATGCTTGTTTGTATGCGTACATTATTGTAGTGGTTTACCTCACAATGTATTGCATATTTATTGGCGTTTGCTTAATAATATTTAATCTTCTAATGAAACTACATTTAATCGATTTAATATGTATCTTTTTTATAAACGTCTGTCAATAAATATTATATAGCGGTATGGAACGTATGCGTCGTTCTCGCACTCAAAGTTTCCGTTGACTCGTATAATTTTGCAAATATTAATTTACTGTGATAATGCATTGCAAAAAAAAATGCGGTTACGTACAATAGCACTGTAAGAAAAATTTTAAATTTCGAAATGACACAAAAAATCCCACAACACGAAAACTTAATTTTGGGTCGTTGATTACGGCCCTGTGACGTTTTTCTGAATCAGATCATTTTCGCAAGATATTTTCATTTTAAGTTTGCATTGTGCATGAAGAAAATGCAAACTTTAACAACGAAAAAATTTTAAAATTAAAGTTTCTTTTTTAACTGCTTGTGGATCGTACGGTTTCAACGTATTTTATACAAAAACAGGTAAAACAGTAGTTTTTTAGTTAATGTATATTATAATGAAGAAAAAAATATTTCCTACAATTGAATTGTAAAAAAATCGCTCAATTTTTTTTCAGTTGATCGCACTTTAGATCTAGGTATGCGATATGTGCATTTTTAAAACTTGTTCCCGCGAACACTGTGTATTAAAAAATGTAGGCAGCAAAAAAAGTATAAATGAAGTATTTTGGAAAAAAGCGCAGTATCAATTTTTGGAATCAAAAAAGAAGTATCATATTGCGAAAGAAAAGTACAGATGCGAGCTTTATGCATAGACAATACATATACATACATATATTCACGCAAAATATGTACTCTTCATAGTGGTGTATTTCTAAATAGGGTTACCATCTAATTTTTAATAAAAGATATGTATTTAATACATTTTATTTATAAAGTGTTTTTTTTTTCAAGATATTATTTTTATAGAATCCAGAGGTACTAAGTATACAGTCGGACTCCGTAAGAACGAACTCCCCTTGTAGCTCCTCTTTATAATGATTTTTTTTTGCACTTAGGGAGTAGAGGGGAAGCACGTTTAAGCACTTAACAAAGGGCGTAAGCGTTAAATTATTATGGGTACTCATGGAAAACTAAGTAAGTTTACGAGATTTACATGGTTACGAGGCATTTGCGCGTTTAGATGAATTGCATATACACACATACATACATACATATATATATGTAATTTATAGCTTGTGAGCTCTAAACATATATACATTTTTATTTTCAGATCCAATAAACGGACTTGTGTATCTACTGCACTGATTATAAAATGAGTGCTGTTGTAAACTTAGACAACGCCAACAAGTTGTTTGTGTCATCTACTACCATAGTGATACCTAATACTAATAATAATAATAATAATAACGGTATGTTATAAACTTGTTACACAAACATAAACTAACTATCATATCACTTTATAGTTATTGAAAATAAACGAATCAACAACAATAATGATGGCGCCGCAATCATCGAGATTGGTGAGTAATGAAAATTATAAATTTATTTTAGATAAGAATGTTTGTATTGTAAATTTAAAATTGGGGGAAAAAAATAGGTCGAAATACCGATGAAATGGCCGAATATTGAAAGGGTGTTTTCCTGTTTTAGCTTTTTTGAAAAACCCAAACATTTCAGACAATTTATTGGCTTAAAAAATCGTGGTACATATGTGAATGGGATACTGTTTACGGTACTGTAAGTACGCCTTGCTTTCTGCGAACTATTATTATTGCCTTATCTCAAACAGCTTACAAAAAAGTCTTATTTAAAAAGCCCTGCCCGAAACCGTTCTCCATTTTTTTCGACTGCATAGAAGAGTTTAGAAGTTCGTACGTACAGCAAAATATACACTCCTTAAATACTCGTAGTATACGGTCGAATTTTCAAAATCGTTGCAGCTTTACCCCCCACACGGTATAACTACCTGATAAATCACTACTGTTATTTAATTTAATAAATACTGCGTAGTAATAAATTAAAAATTTAGAAACACTCATCCAATACTGGCCCTTTAAGGCCTTTTTAACGCGATTTTTTATTCATAACGACGATATGTAACTGCCCATAAAAATTTAATTTTGCAAAAAAAAGCAAAAAAAAATTATCTAGTCTCAATTAAAAAGGGCAAAAAGTCAGCCGATTGGGTCCACTTATTGCGTTAATCATAATTTCATAAAAGTAACAGGTGCGACAATTTCCTGTTTCATATACACTTGTAGGCAACTGTACCAATTTTCCGGAAACGACAGTGATATGTAATATGGAATATTGTCGACAATTGTCACTCTGACAAAATTGTCGCAACAATAGCGACAAAACCAAATAGCACCGTCGGAAAGCTTTCACAGGAGGGTTTTGTAAATGTAATTAAATGGTAATTGCGCGCATTTCATTACTTTTCAATAATTTGAATATTTCTGAGAACTAAAATAATGCAAATGCAATTATTACATATGATTTTCATATAAACTTCATATGACTGGCGACAATTTAGCTAACGACAATTTTAAGCCCCGACAATGACAATTTGTCACTTTTACAATGGAATTTCGCATGGAATTAAAGAGAGCTGACGATTGTTTTTATGAAACAAAACACCCACCATACTGTCGAATTGTCACTGACAACATGGAAAATGCCTGTCGTTACAAAATTATCACTGTCGCTTTATGAAATTGGCCCCAGACGATAAGTTTGGAAAACCCGCAACTTTCTTTGGTGAGCCACCGTAATATACATATGTATGTATGTGTGTACGAATTATTAAAAAATATAGCTTGTTAATCATACAAACGTGTTAAATGCAACAATAACTTACATATTTTTAGTCGAGTCATTGTGAGTATCGTATTATAACTAATCTAAATTGAAAATCAAAGCTCATGTCTGACTACACTGACGCACAAAAATGACCTTAATAAAAGTTAAGTGAATTTGAAAGGGTTATTTTGTATCTACAACTAACCTGTAACTAATCCACATTATTAAAATAACTCAGTCATCCTCAGTTTTTTTTGCAACAGCATTTAAATTAAATTTAATGAAATACGCTTAAAAACTGTATTTAATGAAGAAAAGTAATTTATTTAGGATTTTAGGGAATATTTGGCATCAGGGAATAACTGACACAACTTCCACGTACATAACTTCCACGGGCCCATGGAATTAGTTTCCACGAACATCAGACATAACTTCCAGAAGATTTCCACGAAAATCTCATGGAAGTTATGTCATGACTTAACTTCCAAAATAAGTAATTTTATAATTACTATTTAGGAAAATTTATTAATTTATAATTAATTATATGATTTGAACTACATACATACTAAGGAAAAATTATAATACCATTCGAATAGGGTGCCCAGATGCGCTGATTCAATCAGTACATGTGCTGATTTTTTTATGGTACTGATTTTTAAGAACCCGAAATCAGTACGCAAAAGCTACTGATTTTTTGAGTTTGTACTGAATTTGTACTGATTTTTACAGTTAATATTTTTGTGAATTGGTATAATTGACATTTACTTGAGGTTGACATGTTCAAAACTATGGTTTTTGACAATTCATACGTGTGAGCAGATTGAAATGAATTTATCAAAAGATGTCGCCTTGTAATTGCTTCGTATCCTAGCATTTCGCAAAATAACAACTGCTTGAATTCAACTCAACATAATAGTCCTGTTCTAGGTACGTCACAATTTGCAATATGTACATACTAGGAATGTTAATCCCGGGATCCCGGACATTCCCGTAAATGTAAAAATCAGTACAAACTCAAAAAATAAATAGATTTTGCGTACTGATTTCGGGCCTTTTTTTGGTCCCGAACATCCCGGGATTCTTGGCAAATCACCAAGAACAAATTTAAATGTGAGTTTAAGAAGTTTATCTTGAGCGATATATTGCATCCCACACTCTTGTAGGCTGTTAAAAGGTTGCTGACCAACAAAATTGCCAACAACATTTCGAAAACATGCCCTTGCGGATTTTTCGATCAGATTAAGTTTTTCTTCGAACTGTTCGTCAGCCAATAGGTCTCTAATTTGTGGCCCTACAAATTTCCCTCTTTTACTTTGGCATCGCTGATTTTTGGGTATTTCTTTTTATTCTGTTTTTATACCTTTCATGAGCATGAAANCAGTTTTTGCCATATATCTCCTTTATGTACGAAACTAAACCCAATAAATTGTGTTACCGGTTTACATACCGATCACATAGCGGTGAAAATCACTTAGATTGGTGTCATATAAAGTATATCTTCCAAACCTCTGATTGTTTAGATGCGATTTTTTATATAAGTTGTAACTCCTCTATCGATGTATGCTGATGTATTCAAAAGCAGTAATCTGTCAAAGTAAAATTTGCAGATGTTCATGAAAGGTATGAAGCCTTCGGCATAGCCGAAGACAGCGCTGTTCTTACTTGTTTTTTACTACGATATTGACTTTTAACAGTTAGTTAGACTCTGGGCATCTTCTTAGGAAGTGTAGAAACAACAATCACTAAAAATACCGTTTTAATGTCAATAATAATTTAACGTTAATTTATCAGAACCACATTTTGGTAAAAAAAATACGCGTAATCACTTCAGTAAATTTTTAATCAAAACTGAGGGTAATTGAATAAAACTAAGTATGAGGTTTATATGGGACTATTTAGGTATTAGTTTCTAAAAAACAACTTAATTTTGTTTAACAAACCCACTGTTTATCAGTGTTATTAATGTTAAAATGATTCCTTTAAAATATTTTGATGCAAGGAGGTCAATTTTTTTGAAAATAGCTTTTGTACCACAGGTTTATCTTTTAATTATTTATTTATTATTTACATAAATGAATTTTACTTTATTCTTCATTTCGCGACAGAGAGTGCGAAAAATTTAAAAAGCAGACATCTTGCAGAGTTAAATAAACACAAATATTCCGCTGACTTTATAATCCTTTTTTCCTCTTTCAACCTACAACGTTAGTTTTATCATTCATAGGTTCAATTTATCTTAATAATATTTTTAATCATCTGCCACCCGAAACTTTAAAAACACTTCATGTTAACTGCTTAAAAGTGGCAGCGAACCCATCTGGAAATATCCAATAATTTCGAATCCTCCTTGTTTGCTGAACATACATTTGTATGTACATACTTTTTCCAAGATATAATAATTTAAATTAAAAGGCCATTTTATACGGGACTTTTTGACAGCGGCGCACATAGGGACTACAAAAATGTTTACTCCATATGTATATGACAGACTTCAATGAAACTTGGTATTGAGGGATTTTCATTATCACTGATATCGAATATTAAATTAAATTTCCAAAATTCACAATGGCGGATCCAATATGGCGGACGATTTCTTCAAAAATTTATAAATTTTTATGAAGCTTGGTATTTACTCCATGTGTATTTGATAGATTTCAAAGAAATTTGGTAATTAAGGATTTTCGTCGTCAATGAATTCGAATATTAAATTAAATGTCCAAAACTCAAAATGGCGGATCCAATATGGCGGACGATTTATTAAAAAATGTATAGATTGTTATGAAGCTTGGTATCCAGAGCTTTTCGTCGTCACTAATTTCGAAATTGATATTTTATTTTCAAAAATTCAAAATGGCGGATCGAATATGGCGTCCCGAACAATAGGCGTTTTACTTTTAATGCAATTCGTTACCTTTATCACAATTTGAACCCATTTTAAATTTTCAAAATTTAATTTCAATTTCGTAATCAAAGATAACGAGGATCTCTAAATACCAAGTTTCATAACAAACTATAATTTAAAAAAGGGGTCCCCTATATTGTATCCGCCATTTTGAATTTTGAAAATTTGATACCAATTTCGGAGACATTGACAACGAAATCCCCTGGATAGCAAATTTCATTGAAATCTGTCAAATACATATGGAGTAAACTTTTTTGTCCTCCTATATTCTCGATTCGTCCCAATAAACGACTCAAGAAAAAAATGCTCTATTTAATGAAGGCTCTATTTAATGAAGGGTTGAAGAGAAATTCCTGTACTCTTTGGAACTTTTTTTATAACTCTATCTAACTAATAAAAATTTCAAATTTGTTCAATAAAACAAAGGCAATTTATAAAATAGGTACTATACCCATTTTACAAAAAATGCAAAATAAAGTACTCACCTCACCTTGACCAAACTATTAGTTGTTAATAAGAATGAAATGACAAGCGAAACTATTTTATCATCGCTTTAAACAAAAAATTATTTAATTCCATGCACGATAGAAAACCCAACTTTACGCTTCTACATTGCGGACTGGTTTATAAGGAGTATTAAAAAGGTATGTGTGTTAAGATTTAAAGACTTCTGTTCTTCTATTTTTGTCGTCGTAATTAGTCACTTTGTCCTTATGTGCGACGACAGTAGAACAAAAAACAAATCAACTTAAATAAAGTTCAGCTTATTAAATTTATAAATCGAGCAACATTATCAGGTGGAATAAACACTAAACCAGGTTGTACATGTCTGTTTTTTTTTTAACTATCCCAGAAAATAATGGCCGCGGCAATTTTCACAAAAAATGAAACAGTTGGAGGAGCTCAGCCGTAACGTGAAATATCTATAGATAAGGCTAAGAAATAATTGACCCGCATCAACATGGTTTTGTCTGTGGTCGTTCGACAGTCATGAATCTTGCTTCATTTTTTCAGTTTTGTATCTCATCGCTCAAGAGCGGATCTCAAGTCGATGTAATTTACACAGATTTCTCGAAGGTCTTCGATACTGTTACGCACAGTATCTTACTACATAAGCTGGAACGGTTAGGGTTCCCCTCAGCATTTTTATGCTGGGTTAGTTCGTATCTTTCCAACCGAATCTCCCATGTTGAAATTGAAAATACTAAGTCTTACGCTTTTATCGCCACTTCTGGGGTACCACAGGGTAGTATTATTGTCCCAATTCTTTTTCTTCTTTTTATTAATGACATTGGAAATCGTTTAAAGCACTCAAAGTTTTTACTCTACGCGGACGACTTAAAAATTTTAGAATCATTACTTGTTTGTCAGTCAGATGTTCTGTCTTTACAAGACGATCTTATAACTTGGCTATTTGGAGTACAAGAAATAAATTACCTCTCTATATTAAGAAATGTTTTCACATGACTATTTCTAAAAATCTAAACTTCATTAGGTCAACATATTCTCCTTTTTATGCAAGCCTTTCTACTGTTTTTGGATCTTGGAGTGCTGTTTGACCTTTATGAATTACATTAACCATATTATCCCTGAAGCCTACTCTAATCTAGCCTTTCTTCGACGCTATGGAAGGGACTTTAAAGATCCCGAAAACTTTTATTACACCCGAAATATTTTATTAAATTCTTTAGTACGTTCTAAATTGGAATATGCTTCTTTAATCAGGAATCTGATTTATTCAACTTATTCCAATAGAAATGAAAGAGTGCAGGGTAGATTTATTCGTTTTGCTCTCGAACTACTTAATTTTGCCACCCTATAGTGCTTGCTATATGCTAATAGGGATGAAGTCACTTGAATCGAGAATATCCATTCATTTGCTGATGTTTGTTTACGATATCATAGCTGGTCTCATTGATTGCCCAGAGCTACTTGTGCTGATAAGCTTCAATGCTCCGCAACGAACACTAAGCTTTCAGTACCCGTTTGCTAGAGCCCTCATTGAATTCAATCGCATATTTAGTAGCCTTGATCTAGATTTTGCACTCCCGAGATCTCGTTTTGGCTCAATAATTTAATCTTTATATTCTTAGTCATAAATGTTTAGTTAAATCAAACTTGTGAATCTAGTCTGTAAGGACACAATAAATGAAATGAAATAAAAAAAATCACCCAAGCCCTGTGTTTCTAAGTTCATTTTAGTATTTTTTTGTCCGGTGAGAACGACCAGACGGCATAATATAAGTATATAAACACGAACACAAGGATAAAAAGAATTAAACTTCACCTCGTATTCCATTACACAGCAACTTGTTCGATGAAGAAAATTGACTAAGTGTTTGAATCGACCAATATCGTTTAGGCGCCTTTGAAATCTGTATATAAGCGGGTTTCCGTTTTGCATTTTACAGTAAAAAAAACATAAACAAAAGTTTCTTTTCTTTAAAGTGTTCTTACACGATATGTATTTCCATCTGTAAATGTGCGATTTCAATACGCGTCTAGACTATGTAACAGAAAAGCGATAAAATTTCTTATAAGATAAAAAAACATCTAAAAAATGCACACATTTATTTACGTTTCCTTCCTTTTCTACGAACACAGGAAACAATTCGCAAGGTAAAAATCCAGTGCTACCACCGCTTGAGAAATTTCAAACGTGTTTTTTTTACTCGTAATTACATTTTTATTTCCTGTTTACTGCATACGGCAACACTACGGCCAACAGCTGTTTGCTTGTTGAACGAGTAGCAGTGGCGAGCTGCATTTCCAATTGGACTAGTTACTTATCATTTGTTTTTTTCTACTTCTCGTGTACGGTAGTGCAAATCGTGAACGGTGATTCGCTTGTATATTAAAGTATTCCATCACTGTGTGGTTTTTTTTTCCTGTTTATAAACTGATTACGGTCAGTCAGTTCCTTCCGATTACGTTAACTCTTTGACCATTTTGTATAATTAAGAGCAACGAAATCTTATAACTAAAAAAGGTGGATAGATTGTGTTATTGGCAATTCAATATACAGAGAGTAAATATGAATGTATTTATGTGCATGCATACAAAGATACATAGTATATGTATATACATACATACATTCATATGTATGTACATGTAATTACAGTTTGCGGCATTAACAGTCGTACTGTAGACAAACGATAAAGAAAGTTTCTTTGTTCCTACAGTAGATCAAACAAAAGTTACTTCAATTTGTCCTTATTTTTTGCAGATAACGCAATCGTTGCCGATAACGAACGGTTCAACAAAATGGCAAATTTCGAAGATGTGAGTGCTTTGCAATTTTGTTTTTTATATATTCTGCGATAGCGTACATATTTACATATATTTTAATGTTAATACGTGTAAAAGAATATGAATTTAATAAAATTATTTTTAATTTTGTATTTCATTTGCATATTTCTTTGTGACAATAAAAAAAAATACACCCACCCAATGTATGAACTAAACAAAACTACCTGGAAATGAACATATCAAATAAAGATTGTGCAAAGATGTCGCACCGCGTTCGCCAGTGGAAAAACAAAAGACGTGAATTTCAGGTGAGTCTTAACGAAATTTTTACTTTCAATGAGTTATTGAGCGTTAAGTTAATACATTTGTACTTGATGAATAACAAAGTTCATTAATCGACCTATTTAAACTATCGTCAGACCAAGCTTATCTAAGCATAAGCGAAACTAATAAACTAATGGCTTAAAACAAGTAAAATAGCCCGAAATAATAAGTGTATGTATGTATTTATTTATTATTATGCACTCAATGTGGAATATCCAGCCTTATGGTGCGGCGTAGTAAACCTAAAATCAAATTATTTTAGCCATATTAATAGGGGCACCGAAATTGCGCATATGGAAACTGTGCATTTAGACATTATTTCGGTTTCAACCGAAACTGTGCATGTATGCTTTATTTCGGTTTTTACCATATGCATTATTTCGGTTTTAAACCGAAACTGTGCATGTATGCATTACTTCGTTTTTTTTCATATGCATTATTTCGTATGCACAGTTTCCATATGCACAATTTCAGGGTGCCATATTAATATGCCCTCACTTTGCACAGCCATTACAGAGCGTAAAGAAAATATAAACAAATTTCTTCAATATCTAATAACATGCTGAGAATTGCGGTCAAAGTATTTTCTTATGTATTATTTATGCTTTTTGCTTTACTTTAAGAATTAAATTTTGTCAATCGAAGCCTTTAGCAATCATGACAACGATATAGTATATAGGGTCAAAATTCAAAATTATATTGTTTGCAACTTATGTTTATTTATTTATTTTCAATAATTTTCATTTAAAATATAATTCAATCTACGTATGTATAACAGAAACCACATAAGTACATATGACAGCAATAGCCCGAGGCACGCCGTTTTAATATTCTTTTAATAAAATATGTAGCATCGCGTAGGTGCAATGATCTTTTTAGTAAAGACCGCATTTATTTTTCATATTACTAAAAATTTTTTGTAGATAGGCTCCTCTGGCACTCATGGCCTCATATATAAATAAAAGTTTGAAAGCTTGCACAAATTTCACAAAAAGTAATCAAACTTCAAAATATGTCCATCAACAACTTTTTATCAGACTTTTTTTCGGGTAGTATGTAGTTTCTTTTTTATTATTTACTAAATCTGTAAATAAATTAATTGCCATGAGTGAGAAATATGCAAATACATTTAGATATAAAAAATATTTTTTTTTTTTTTAAAAAGAATAATTTTCGGGACTCGAACCTGCTACCTTCGGATGGGTAGGCTAGCACGTACGCATTCGGGTACTCCACATCCATCATCGGCGCTGTCTATAACGAAGTTTTGCAATCATTTTTCAACTACCTTTACTATAAATTGCATAAAAACGTTTATTAAACATTTTTTTCCAAACAAAAATTTCAATTCATAGTGATTTGTTCAATCTTCAATTGTTAGTAAATGAGTTAAAATATTTGGATTAAACTTTTTCCAAACATCGGGCTTACTGAAGTAAGTTTTTCGTAAGCTTGCCCAAAAGTATTTTGTTTATTGGGACGTATCCTAAAGATAATTTTGCTTCATTTTACTTTTCCTACGCTTATCAAGTGGTACAAGAAAAACTGGTATCTGCTGAACCACAATATTCGTAGAAAAATATGTACATACATACATATGTACATACTTCCCTATGTGCACGATGTGGGTATGTAGGGGCCTAAACGTATTGCAAAATTACTTGGTCTACATGCAACAACGTATTGCGCGCAAGATGGTGCGCGTACTGTATGAATATTGTTGACTCTATTGCGTGATTTGAAGTTTTGTTGTTACATATTATGATTTTTCTTTGCGATTGATGCAAGTATGTACAATGTATATAATAATAATAATAACAGTTAGATTGGCGCTTACACAATATGTTAGTGTTTGGCCGAGCTTCTCCTCCAATTTGTGGCGTGCGCTTGAAACTGTCACACAAAGGGGAGGTACCTATAGTTTTACGCCGACTTCGAGCGGCGATTGAATTCTTATGAGAAGCTGTTTTTCATGGCTGAAATAGACTCGAAGGTTTGGCATTGCCTTCCGAGGAGCGACCGTTATTAGACAATTTTTTTTATTTTGTCTCTATTTTTTGATGTTGGTCGGAGACTGAGCGCAAATTCAGGCCCTGCGGAACGGTAGCGCGCACTGTTAACCATACGTACATATGAATTTCGTAATCAAGTGTTGATTATTTTCTTTCATTAAGCTTAATCGCAGATTTAATAGCTGTCCAAAAATCACAGGGATAACCGCCAAAGTCTATTATATAGGATAAAATTAACTGGTTACATATAACAACTTATGTATATACATATTTGTGTATATACATATTTATACACTATACATACATATGTGCTACAAAAACTTGCAAAATGGTATATCCATATGTTTAATATACGTACATACATACATACATATCGCATACCCTCCTCAAAAGAAACAAAATTCAAGAACAAAATTATTATTAATTATTAATTAATACGAAAAAAATTTATTTTATTTTATTTGATTATAAAACCAAATTGATTTTTTACCTGTTTAAACGCATATTTAAGAGCAACTTTAAATGTACAAACATGTGTATAAAGTGTTTTTTTTTTATCAAATTTAATTTTTAAATTTATCTGGTATTCTTTGTAACACAGTTAAACAGAGATCATACGATTTATATAAGGTAATAGCGGGAGTACAAAAACAAAAATTTACGTGTATTTTGTTTTTTTTTTTGGCGTCATAAACTGTCAAAATCTGTAAGAGTGTGTTTGGAAATTCAAACGAAATTTTTACATTTGATATTAGAAGCCTTGTGGCGAAACACACACACGAAATCAGCTGATCTAGTAACACCACCTTATAAAAAATTCGTCTTAATTTGTAGTAACCTGAACTTTTGCTTCGACAAAGTTAAAAAAAAAATACGTAACTAGAGTTGCCAGATTGCATTTTTCGCCTTGAGATTCAGGGGCTTCCGATCGAATCTCGGTGATCAGGGTTTGCCACTAAAATCTCAGGGTTTGGAAAAAATTTTAAGTATTTATACGTTTTTTTCATAGAAAAATTACATTTTTATTCCAAAGAAACGTACATATCGCTAGCTTTGATTGAAAAGTTGCAAGTCCCTTTTTTGTGAAAATCCATATTTTAATAAATTACCTTGTTTATACCAACGCATAAAGCGCTTTCACCCAGTTCGTTGTGATTCAAAACGCAAGCATAAACCAACATTCAATACGCTCAGAAATTCGAAAGTGTATTGACTCGAATTTGTTTTCAAATCGCTTTTTTATTTCTCACATCGGTTAGAAAACTGGTATAAACACATCACTCATTTGACGCGAATTGAAAAAAAGGCTGGTTTTCTTTATACAGACCGTTTTAAATTTGAATTACTATTATAATAAATTTGAATTCTTGTTCGCTTCCATTTCGCTACACCGCGCAAATAAATAATTTAAGAAATATCGAATAAAAATAATAAATTTTGTTTACTTTTGAATACGGTTTCAGTGAGTGCGCCATAACGACAAAGGTATAAATGCTCGAAAGAAATATGTGTTGAGGCAAATCAGCTTTTTGTTAATGCGGTTCTTGGGTAGGTATGTATAAACAAGGTAAATATTAATAAAAACCAAAAGTGAAAAAAATAATGATGCCATTTTTCAATCTCGAGGTATGGGCATCGGAAAAGGTGGTTACCCTATACGTAACCACTGTAATAACACGCGAAAAATTTGCATTTAAATGACTTTCAAATTATCTTTGTACAAGTCAAGGCCAAAGTTTAACTGTCATTATCAACTGGCGATGTCCACCACAACGTGCATACATACATAACTCATATACTTACCTATTAATAAAACTAACTTTGCATTGTTGTGTAAAAGCCAGCTTTTAATTCTATTAAACTGTTACTATTAGACATCGTTAACTGGCATATTAAATGGTGCATTACAGTTTAAATTGACACATATACATATACATATGTATGTAAATAGATATTTACGTTTTATACTCACATATGTACATAAATAAGTTATTTACTTAAATTTTAATTGACAAATGTCGGAATACAGGTTATACTCTAATAATACTCTGCTAAATGTCTTTATAATAAAAAAAAACCATAATTACCTACTATATTTTTGCAATAGTAATGAGTTTAACGCGATCGTGTTTAGAAATACTATGTACATGTTTAGGTTTAAGTCATTACAAAACTGGTATTTCAATAAATAATTTTAATTGTTTCAATGTACTTTATAATAATGGTAGTTTATATGCACGTTACGCAGTTTATAAATAACTGAACATTAACCAACATCTTGCAGGTCCATTTGAATTTTTGCACTAACGTTCATACATTCATACATACATACATATGTATGTATGAATGTATTTTATAAAATCAAAACTGCAGACACATGCACATTAAAATATATGTATGGATTTATGTTTACAGAAATACAAGTAATCAGTGCACGTGGACATATGTACATTAGAGTGGTCCAAAAATGCATGTGAAAAAGTAAAGTCGGAATTTTTATGCTCTCACCCCCAAGGATTGTTCCATACCGAAAAAAATATACCCAAATTTTTTTTATTTTGAAATCAAAAAATATTTAGAGGTCGCTCAAAGCGCCCAAAGTTTGCCCGTATTTTACATGGGCAAAAACAACTTTTCGTAGAAATGTATACCAATAGTTAAAAATTAATATTTTTCTTATCTGCAGGAGATTCCCAATAATAATACCCAATTGTTTATTTAACCATTTTTTCATTGCAACTATAATTTATAGGTCAGCCAAAAACAAACAAAAATCCCGAATAATGCAATGGGGCGACCAATAAAAAATCGTTAGTATTAAAAAATGGTTAAATAAACAATTGAGTGTTATTATTGAAAGTCTCCTGAAGGGAACCAGAGTTTTCCGGCCAAAAATATTGCCTTTCAAGATATCTATACCCTTTCTACGAAAAAATTTATTTTTCCCATATAAAAATACATGGAAAACCTTG